CTGGGGTACACCATGAAGGACTGGGGGTACACCATGAGGACTGGGGGGCACAACACAAAGGACTAGGGGATGCATCATGAATGACCCTGATGTGGGATTCTAGTCTGTATATGTGTTGCTTTTATTGGTTAAAAAATAAAGAAGCTACTTGGGTCTATGTTAGGGCAGAACAGAGGTAGGTGGGGAAAACTAAACTGAATACTGGGAGAAGAAGGCGGAGTCAGGGAAATACCACACAGTTGCCAAAGGAGAAAGATGCGAGCTGCCAGCTGGAACCTTGCCAGTAGACCATGAGCCTTATGGTAAAATATACAATAATAGAAATTTGTTAAATTAAGATGTAAGAGCTAGCTATAATACACACACACACACACACACACACACACACACACACACGTACGCTATTGGCCAAGTGGTGTTGTAAATAATATAGTTTCTGTGTGCTTACTGCAGGACCGAGCAGGACAGAACCCTCTGTCAACATGACCCAAACAAAATCAGAGTAGAAAGTCAAACTGAGCTCAGGGGTTAACAGATCGGGTGTACTGGAATTCTTCAGACATGACAAAGATAATAGAAAAGAGATTAGGGTCAAATATTAACTAAAGTTTCAAACATCAAGATAATAAATTTTCAAAATGAAATCCAAGCCCCACGCCTAACAGATATCTGAGTAATTATTGTTTGGAGGAGCAGAAATAACTTTGGGAATTAACAAAGATTTTCACAAGAAAAAAAGAATTTAGACTGGATCTTACATTTAGTAAGATGTCACTGAGCAATGGAACAATGGGAAACTATCTCAGAGAACATAGTACATTTCAGGGATATTAATTTGAAAACATTCATTGGTAAAAGCCCAACACTGAGAGCAGGAAGTCTAATTTACATTAGAATGTATATCTGATAATCTCAAGAAGTAAAACATAAATGGGTTTCACAATTTTAATTCCAAGTAGAAAAATCACAAAATGGTATAAAAAAAATCAAATTTCCAGATTTGCCTGGCATATGATGCAACTAGATAAAGCAATTAGATATTAGATTCTGAGGAAGCAGGGTTTTCTTGAAAGTCTTAACTGGCTTTTTTTCAAAGAGAAATAAATTTGGTAAGTGGTATTTTAGACTAGAAGGTACCTGATACTTCAGTAGATTAAATATTTTACCATACTCTTTAGAACAAATAGTCAAATACTTCACGCAACGCTTTAATATGCACAAACAGTCATGTAAACACACACACACACACACACACACACACACACGAGACACCAGATTTAGCATGGCCATGTAAGCTGTATAATAGACAAGTTATCACCTCAATATACAGGGCTGTTGGTCATTGGACAAATCAGGCACCGTGTCACTCACAATCAAATCACAGTGACTCTTAACGATGGACTAGTGCTTCATTTGTTTCCCACTGGTGCCTAATCACACACTGTAGAAGGATGACTTCACCACAAGGGCCTGGCTCTGACAGTAAAGGAACCCACCAGGCAAACATGAAGATCTGAATTTGGCTCATCAGAATCCACATTAAAAAAAAAAAAAGTCAGAGTGAGTGGTCTGAATCCCACGGCTGGGACGGTGGACATGGGAGGGTCCTTGGGGCTTTCTGGTCAGTCAGTGTAGCCAACCAGTGAGTTCTAGGCTCAGTAAAGGAGCTTATCTCAAAAGTAAGGTAGGGAGCAAGTGAAGAAAACAGCAGACATTGGCTTCTGTAGAAGTGCGCGCACAGACACACACATGTGCACACTCACACACATGTGTGCGCACACACATGGAGCTTGAACAACTGACTTACCAGTTTAAGCATTGGGAAATTTCATTCTGTAGAAGTCACCGAACGGGGAAGAAGGACCATCAAGGGAGGTGTCGCAGAAGAACAGGGCACCATGGGAAGGGGGTGAACGAGAACCTATAATGGCAAACACGTACGACAATGCTATAATAAACCCTTTATATGCAAAATTTGAAAGCTATTTTGAATAAAAGAATGACAGTATGAAATGACTAACTCTAAATCCGTCTTTCCACTTGGCAGCAGCGTTTTTCTCTCCTAACCATGTTACTTAAATATTTCCCAGGAACAGGCTGAGTGGGCAAACCAGGAAGTGAAACCAAATATAATCACTGTGAGAGCTGAGGGCAACGAAAGACACTTTAGAATTAGTTGGAGTGCTATTAACATTTCGTTTAAAAGTCTATTCCCCTGGCAACATCAATGTAATCAGAGCCACACTAAGAGGGATCTCTAGAGGTAAGTGTTCAATTTGTTGTCCGGCAACTGATGTAGTCTTTTATGCAAATGCACTTTGCTGTAGTGGGGCTGGCCCATAGGAAATCTGAGTGACTCACCCCGCCCCGCTGAACAGAGCAGGGTGAATCTCTGCTTTCCACGCTAGTAAATGTACTCAGAAAAATAGTTCATAATGACCCACTTTGGGGAAAATGTGGCTTTGGCTTCTCAGGTAACAGATCCTATTCTCTGAGTTATTCTGGGATCTATTCTACTGTAAAGTCTAAACTTCTATGCAGGCACAGTAAGAATTAAAGTGCGATGATTCCGTTGTGCAAGGTGTTGCTAAACAAAGCTCGCGGCTGGCTCTCCTGACACGCATACCATAAAGCTCCATCATTTCTTCAGCTCTGCAATCATGATTCATGTCCTAGGAGACTGGGTGTGAAAGAGGGTCTAGAAAAACCGAAGGAATTCTCACTCACTGATTTATTTTCTTCTGGCTTTAAGCAGGGTTGAGTAAGTCTAAATACATGACGTGCAACACTGAACATTTCTTAGCAACCAAAGTAAGTTGGAGCCTCAATGACCTCCAGCCTTAGCCCTGGCCCTCACGGCGAAGAAGCAAAGGAAACATGAGTACCCTGCCCATAAAGCAAGTCTACTGCCATTACAAGTATGAATAAAAATCTAAGAAGGAATGTCTGAATTAAATAATCAGTGGCTACAAGTCAATCTGAGTGTCCATGTACATGAGTACACACATGGGAAACGTGCAAACCCCACGGCTAGTGAGAGTTCGGTAAACACCTGATGCCTATCTGCCAGGGCACGGCCACTGAGCCTGTTCTAATTCCGCTGTGTTAGAGGAGACTGACAAGCTGGAGTAAAGCTTTAATTGAAGTGCTTTATCGAAAGACACATGGATAACGCATGATAGTGGTATGTGAGAGGGCTCAGTGTGTAAAGGGGCTTGCTGCCAAGCCTGACGACCTGAGTTCAAGCCCTGGTCCCACAAGATGGAAGGAGAAAAATACTCCTGAAAGTTACCGTCTACCCCCACATATACCAAAGCACACACCTACACACACACACACGCAACATGTATTCGCACGCATACACACACACATCTTTTTAGAGCAGACCAGCCCATTAGGCTACCTTTCCTCTAGGTACCCTCTCCCGTCTCTGTTGCCCCCCCATCAGACATCACACTTTCATTTTAGGGCCTCATATTTTAGAGTTGTTTTGTTTTCATTCTCTTGACGGGAGAATTGGTTGGTGTTTGCTGAATTACAGGCTGAGGGAGAAAAGGAAGCAAATTGATCTTTTGTCTCCCCTTATGACACATGAAAAGGTCAGGGAAGGTCAGAAACAAAGTGAGAAAGGGAAAGAGATGAGGCCCAGCAACTAACTCTAAGAATTCTAAGCACACAGAATTCTAAGTCTGGGGAGCACCGCTTTCTTGAGTGGTTATGTAAACCATTGACTTGAAGGAAAATGCAGTTTCAGCTGGAGATCGGTGGTGGATGCTTGCCTGACCAGCAAGTCCTGAGTTTGATCCCCAACCATGAAGGAAGAAGATGGTCAGAAAGACACGTGGCTGGGGAAGAACACGAGCCTACTCCGACACCAAGTACCGAATACAGATTTGTACTGGGTTTTGTTCTGTTCTGGTACAGGGTCACACATGGCTCTCCTGGCCTGATGCTCCTGATGCTCTCAGCAGGTCGCCAAAGCTGACCTTGAATTTCTGACCCTCCTGGGATTACAGATTTAAGTCACCAAGCCAAATTCGAAGCATGGTGCTTTCCCAACCATGGGAGCTTCTCTTGAAGCTACCAGAGTCCTGGTAGATAATGGGCTCCCTGTCTTTAGGATACACAGGGACTGGAGGGGAAGAATGAGGGGGCGTGGTCCTCAACAAGGAAATGTGTTCAAGGTCAGCATCTCTGTGAAGATGTAGTGAGGACATTTGGGGCTTCAGACTCCCAAATAAAGCGCATGACTGACCTGACTCGGAAAAGATAATCCTAGAATCTGAAGGGATGAAGCAATATTTTAAGTAATGTTGAGAGCACGAGAAATACTTTGGTCAGAGGTGAAGTGAGGGGAGCAAGGGGACCAGGGAACCCTACAGGGACAACTGAACTGACAAGGTATGAGGGTCCGGAGCAGGGAATGTGTGAGAAAGAACAGAAATGACGGGTTTAGGAGGAACATGGGGCTGGGAATGGCTATCCACAGTGGGAGTCTCTGAGTGGCCAGCTTTCATGTCAGATCAAGAGTAGTTAACATAACTGAGGGTTTTGGCTTAGGGTTTGGCATACCTAGCCTTTAGCTGGAAAGTGCTTACAGAATGTTGCTGTCAAGAGGGACACACACACGGAAAGGCATAGACTGGGAGTAGTCCACAGGGTAACTAAGAAAGGACGAGAAGAGTGAACCTGCTATCCACACATTTGCATGTTTCCAGAAGTTGTTTCCTGAAGGGAACGGATTCTGCAGTCTTGGCGTCAGACGGGCCACTAAAGGGAGCCAGGACGCAGGGACAAATGAGAAGCCCGGTTACAGGGCCAGTGGTGGAGGGGAGAGAGGGCTATGCTTGCACAGGTTGTGAAAGGCCAAGTTTGCACAGCTTGTGGACTTTCAAGAAACAGGATTAACAGGCAGATAGAAAAGCCAAACAGAACCCAGGGCAGGTGTGTGTGTGCGCGCGTGTGTGCTTTTGTTAGGCTGTTCATTTCTACTAAAGGTTCTGTGACGTGGGATATAAAATCCTGAACCTGGTAACATGGGAAAAGTACAAACAAATGTAGCCCCCTCCACAAAGCAATCCATTTACAAAACTGTTCTCTAGAGAATCCCATTTAAAGACAGGAAACTTAATTTATGACATCTTAGTAGAATAAAACATAAACCTGGCTTATTGCTTATATAGAGTTGGGGAAATAGATACATGGAAATTATGGGCTCCAGGCTAGCCTGGGTTACACGGTTAGACCTTGCTTGAATGAACAGACAACTCCAAACATACATGTTCTAGGATGGTCGCTTGTGTGTGTGTGTGCGTGCGCACACACATACACACACACACACACACACACACACACACACAAACTGCTCCACCAAGCACCTCTAAGAACAACATCTACTTGTTGGCATCTGACTGGAGGCAAACAGGATGACTGGAAGTAATTAAGACTCATTTCTGAAAGACTCCCAGCATCCCGGACCACTGCAGGTGCTTGCCGCCTTCCTGATTACGACCTGCCATCAAAGCCTACAAGGCTTTTCTTTCCATTTTACTCCAGTATAAATAAAAACTGGCTTCTGTCAAACCATATGGACTAACTTGTGTTCTAAACTACTGGTCACAGAACCAGTGAGCATATTTAGTTCATCAACATCAAGTGTAACGAGAATTTTAGAAGCGTTTTTTTTGTTTGTTTGTTTTGTTTTTGTTTTTTATTGTTTGTTTTTTTTATGAGCATCAATGCCCCTTCTTTGGTAGCTCTGAGTTGGAGACTGCATCCTTGGGCAGCGTAGTTTAGAAGTGCTTGTTTTCTTTTGCTACACAGAGTTTATCTGTGATTTGTACACTGACACTTACTTATTCTGTCTCCATCTGCTAGGGGCTGTGCCCCAGGAGCATGGGTTCTCTGTGGAAATCACTGAGTTTCCCACCAAGCCCAGACAATGCTTGGTGGAATAAATCAGTCCTGTGCCCGGTCCACTTTAAGAACAGATCACGTGTTTTCTTTAGCAGTCATGTCACATTCTCCAAGATCCAACTTAATCTGGAACTACGACTTCTACCTATCTACCTTAAAGAGACTCCTCTGGCTCCAGATGCCTTCCCTGCCCACCTGTCTGAGGGAGGCCTTGTTGAGGCTCCTCACCAGCTGCCCTATTCTGGTTTCTGGTTTCCCCTCTCACTTCCTGTTGGTAGCAAGTGCTCTAGCTCACATTTCCTTTCAGTATTTTGACCCCAGGTACCTGAGTTTAACATCTGTCGTTTTCACTGTTTGAGACTTTTGCTCTGATGATGAACCTGGTCAATGATCTAAGCTCATCTTTCTCCAGCTGCATAACTTAAGCTTAGGAGAATTCTAGCTGACTTTTCCCGTCAAGGCTGTTGTTCTTTAGCCCCACCACGAAGCCCAACCACCACCCTGGCTGATGAGATAATCCTAATGAGCAACTCAGTGTAATCTTTTTCTGGCCAACTAGATTAAATTGGTATGAATTATTACATAATCAAATCCAGGAAGAAACTATTATATTCCAAACTCACTGAGAATGACATGAAAATCCCCAACCTTACAAAGAGATACCTTTTATTTAAGTAACTGATGTTACAACTTAGATGTCAGAAAAATATTGTGATGCAGCACAAAACGCAGGCTGCAACTTTTAAAGCCATTACAAGATGATTATTTTAATTCACAGGCCAGTAATTCCAAACACATCTAGCCTCTGAATAAGGTGGTCCTCAGGGTGGTGCAGAAGACTAAGCAGTTGGTGGCTCTCCTTTCCTGAGTGATGACTCAAGTCAGCTAGACCGGAAATAAAATTCGAAGGGTACACAGCTGGCACACAGCTGTAAGCCGCCTACTGTGAGTGATAGCACGATCCGTTTCCCCTATTTGTGCGAATGACTTTGCGAGCAAGACTGCAATCCAGTGAGAGCCTCTCTCCTCTGCAGCCTGAGCTTTCCATGTCCTGGGGACACCTCTACTGGGTTCCTCTGCTTGCACTGTGAACTGCACAGTGACTTCTTGATTTTACTTAAGGAGAAGCTGATCTTTAAAGTCAATGATTTTTAAAGTCAAAGTATGAATTGCTTACAAATTAAGGCTCCAAAACTTGGAAGACTTTTGCTAAAGGAACTTCACTAGCAAGATTTGAGGGCCAGACAAGCGCAGGCCCAGAGTTCTGTGCCGACCACAAAGTAAATAAAGGCAGCTTGTTCGCTTTCAGTGTAGAACACCTTAATTCACATTTTAACCTTTTATTATGGGAAATTCCAACCACACACAAAAGCAGAGTGAGCCCACACCAGAGCCCGCATGCCCATCAGTGATGCAGTAACCACAACAACCACCCTCTCTGGGTCATTTGAATGACACTCTAGACATGGTTTAAATCTCATTTCAAGGTACCTTCAGTAGACTCTTAAAAATATAACCAAAATACCATAAACACACCGAGTGACTTGCTATAGATATTTAACTAATATGCTGAAACAAAAGGCCCAACTCTGGAATCCTTACTGTGTCACACGGTGTAAAACATTCCCTCCAAGGCTAACTTCAAACCACCAATCAGAGTGCAGTTGAGATGGACATTCAAATACATGTGCCAACCTTATATGATACTTCAACTCTGCAGGAACACTGGGCATAAGATCGTGAGTGTGTGCGTGTGTGGGACACGCGTATCTGTTCATGGAGTGCCTGCCTATGTGTGCACATGCATCCCATGGAGGCAGGAGGTCCGTGTCAGACGGCACCACTTTCTACCTTAGACAAGCTCTCCCACTCAGCCTGGAGCTCGCTCACTCATCTGGCAGGATCTGACAGGATCCAGTAAGGCCCTTGGATCCTGTCTCCACCTCCCTGGCGCCGGGATCACAGGCATGCACACTGAGTGCAGTGTTTCCGTGGTGCTGGGATCTGACTCATCTGATAATGCTAAAACCTGACCGAGTTATGTCCTCAGCCACGACAAAGACTCTTGAGAGCACAGGTAGCTGTAAATTACTGTAAAACTCAAAAGTGATGGATGTGTACTACTCTTATTACTTCATAAACTTTTATAACTTAGTTTTCCTAAGTTTTTTTTTATTTTATGTGTATGGGTGTTTCTGCCTGCATATATGCCTGTGCACCGTGTGCCCAAGGTCAGAAGGCCTTGATCCCTTGGAACTGGAGTTATGGATGGTTGTGAACCTCCACGTGGGTGCTGGGAATCGACTCTGGGTCCTCTGGAAGATCAGTGAGCGTCCTTAACCACTGAGCCATTTCTCCAGTCCTAGAACAGCTGTTTTTTAAATGACTGTTTAACAAGTGACTTGCAAAATTCCTAAAAGCTTAGGAAATATAATTTTTAAAGCCGGTGCATGTTAGCATCAACACACCCGACATCACGCTGAAGTAACTGGCAATTCTTGTCGAGATTCCTCTGTCGTCTCTGTCCTCTCTACATACCTGCGGTGGAGGAGTTAAGCTTTGGGAAGCTGCACCAAGGTCAGGTGTCCAACCTGGCTGGTGGTGCCTCCTGTTATAACAGCCTGCTCGCTCTTTCCTGCTTCTGGGGGTGAAATGAGATGCCCTCATGAATGTCCACCTTCCTATCACCAGGGAATTACAACTATGCTTTTATCTTTTGTTGTCCACTCTCAAGTCTCCAAGAGAAAGCGATTGCAAAGGGGCAGGAGCAGGGAGTTGGAAAAGGGAAAATATATCCATCCTCAGCACATGAGCTTGAGCCATTAATGGATTTGAAGCTGAAGATGATGGGCTGTGATGTGAGTTTGCAAGAATCAGTCACTGTGCTTGCCGTTCGGAACCCACCCCCAACGCATCAGGTGCAGTGGACCTTGGCAGGCGGCAAAGTCCAAGTGACCTCCAGCCTGGATGAGGTCACATGACCCCACCTCGAGCTTACTACATCCAAGCAAACTTCCAAGGTCCAACCAAGCAATCTCTTTATTGTAAAATCTAATTTTTTCTTTTAAAAACTGTACTAGGAAGATTTACAACAATAAAATACGAAACTGCGAGGATCCCCCATGTG